AGAAATAAAACATAAAACAACCACTAGATGCAGCTCAGGCAGGCTTGTATTTCCTATCTAGTTAGTATGTGTAGTCTGATAAGAAACCTTTGCCTTCATTTCATCCCTGAAAAATGGTGCTGAATCTTCTGACAGTTCTAGGTTGGCTGTCTGATGATGCTTCACTGATTCATGATGAAAATGCTCTTGCCTGATGATCCTTGTTTTCAAGGATTATCGGCCTGACGTCTGAGATAAGGTGTCCTGGGGAGGTGGAACGCCTCTCACTGAATTTTAAATATTGCTCCATCACATTCGTATCCATAGCTTTTGTAGCGGACGGTTGAAATTATCAACCTTTCCAATGTAAAAAATAGTGAAGCGTTGCTGACACAGTGAAATATACTATAGTGGGGAATGAGAATGTTCCATAATTTTGTGGGTAGTTACAAGAGTATGATAATTAGGGTACTGCTTGATACTTTATAATTATTTACAGTGCTGATAATCTTAAAAGGAAGAAAATGTATAATAACATTCTCGTGACTCTTCTGGACAAAGCCCATTTGGGAGGCGGTTGTTAGGGAGGTATAAGTCCTCAAGCTCAAAGGGAACCTCAAACTTAGACATTTACTAATTGGAAAGTTACTTTAATGTCTTCAAATTATTTTATATTCTGTGTAATTCTCTCTTTCATGCTTTATTCTGCCCATGCATTGCAGTTTTTATTTTTGTTATTATGTCTAGCAGCTTCAAAAGAGGGAAGTACTGTAGCCAGCTTCTCTGGCCCTTTCATCGAATCATAGAACTGCAGAGTTGAAAAGAAGTGCAGAGATTATCATGTCCAACCCTTTGCAATGTGCAGGAAAACTACTTGTTTGAGAGGTGTCTAGCAACATCTTAAACATCTCCAGAGATGCAGAATCTACAATCTTATAGGTACATTAATTTCATTGTTGTACAAATCTTGCTATTCTTCTACTCAAAAGAAATTTATGTTACTACAACTTATTATTTTTAGTCTTAGTTTCTGTGGCAATAGAAAATACTTCCTGGCCATTTTCCATTGGGCCTTGTTTCATGTACTTGAACGCAGCCATCATGTCTCCACTCTGTCTTGCTTTCTCCAGACAGAATAGTTCAAGTTCCTTCAGCTTGTCCTCATGGGCCCTGCTCCAAGTGAGATCTAGATAAGTTGTTATCTCTTGACGGGCTGGTAATAGGAACATGGTTCATGGTCTTCCTACCTTAGGCAGCAGATTTGAGAACACAGGGAGAGGCCATGGAGCCTTTGCCTGCACATTTTTTCTTTATACAGTAGTTCTAAGCAGCTCAATCAAGGCTTGAGACCAGCTACTGCATATGACTAGGTGCTAGAAAAGTAGGAAATCTGTCCTGGCTTGCAGCTTGCATGTACTGAAGAAGTCAGATATCTCCTCCCCCCCCATGAAAAAGAAGATAGTTACTTTTCTGAAAACAAGCTTACATTTCATTTTTCAAACTCCAAGTTTATTCCGGGACTACTGTTTAATTGTTTTACATCCCAACAAAAGGTCCTTGCAAAGGGAAACAACCTCCGCTTTATTCTGTTTTGAGTCATGCCTTTTTGTTTTGATATGTATCTGTGATCCAGCACTCATTTGTTTAAAAAACAAATGCAAGGCTTCAGCTTATGTGATATGTAGCCTGTTGATAGTTTCCTCATGTGTAACAGTCTGAAAGCTAATGTTTGTGCATTAGACAATAATCTGTGAGCCTCTGACAATTTACTTTTAGCGTATCCAGTTTGCATCTTGTGGATTCCTGCTTACCCATTTCAAATCCCAGATGAAATAGGAGATGAAAGTGCTTGCTTGCTTCTTCCCCATATAGCCAGTTGTATCATAGCTATCCATCCTGGAGCAATCAATGCCTGTCATTGGTCTTCCCTTTGTGATTGATGAAGGCAAACAAGTTTTATCCTTGGACAATGTTAGAACATACTATCTTAACACTAGTATTGTACCTTAAAGTTATTTTAGTATGGATAGGGATGCTTTCAACTTCTCTCACTTATGGCTATGGGTGAAATGAAGGTGGGGATACAACAGACAAAGATGGACATATTTTTGCCATGTTTAGAAACAAGTGGAGACATAGCTTTGCTCTTCTCCAAGCTAAACCTGTCCATTTACTTCAACTTTTTCTCAGCAAGAATAATTTTTCTTATCATTGATTATTTTCACTATTCCAAGCTGATTTGTTCGTATCATTTTAAATGGGGTTTCCAGGACTAGATACTAGAGAGAAGCTGTAGCTAAAGAATATAATTTTCTTGTTGCTTTGCAACAATATAAGTTTCCATTAATTCATTCTAAAATGGTATCAACCTTTTTTTTCTAGCTTTATGTCACATATTCATGTTGTGGGTAACTGGGATTTTTTTTAACTTCTATTGTTTCCAGGCCAGGTATCTTATATCCAATATCAGTGCATTTGATTTACCTTTTTTTTAAACTAAAAAAGTGACAGTCAAATACAATAGTCAGAAGCTATTACTTTATGTCAGATTTGAATTTTTGCCAGGCAAAGAAATTCTGTATCATTTTCTGCCCATCTTCCTTCAATTTGGTGAAAAAACATTTCCTTGGAAATTATTTCAAAAGGGAAGAGAATTTAGGTAAATAGGTTATGGTATTCTTGTGCTTATTTAGTGAAATGAAGAGATTAGCCATCAGATATAGGTGAATGTCCTTGATAATTATCTCTCTAGTAGTCAGCAGTCTTCTTATCATCTCAGATTTTAATTCAAATCTAAGAAAAGACATGGGAAGAAGACTTCCCCTTGGCCTATCCTTTTTAAATCCTGATATTTTTTTTAAAAAAAGGATATGACTGACCAATGTAAAGCAACTCTCATTCCCTTTTGAAATGTTATTCCAAATCAAAATTGTAGTATATTTGCATTGAAATTAAAATCAGAGATGGTCTGTCAAAGGCATTAAATTTCGCAGGGAGTTTTGTCATGCAACTGAGTTTCTACAATTTTTGCTGGCAGCTGAATAAACTTGCTATAACACATCTTATAATTTGAGGACTACCCATACAGCTTCATTGCTTTGGTTAACAAATGGGTAAGATAATGCAGATAAACCTGAAGAAAGATGGAAATACTCCCCCCACCGGGCAATAAAAAGGTCACCAACATCTTGAAACAGAGCCCAAGTTCCCTCCTATAAGGATTTTTAAAAAAATATATAAAGCATCTCTAAACCCTTGAGGACTCATGCATGGTCATATATTCTTTGCAGGATCACATTGAAGTCTTGAAAAATGTTGCAGAAATTATGATGTGGGTGACACTGATATAGATGCAGAGAATCTTAAGCCATTGTATAAAACAGCAATGATCCAAAGATCAATTCCCCAATAGTAGAATGTGCTGAAAATAGCAATAGCAATAGCACTTAGACTTATATACCCCGTCACAGTGCATTACAGCTCTCTCTAAGTGGATTACAGATTCAGTATATTGCCCCCAACAATCTGGGTCCTCATTTTACTGAAGGATGGAAGGCTGAATCAACCTCGAGCCTGTGAGACTCGAACTGCCAAACTGCTGGCAGTTGGGAGTCAGCAGAAATAGCCTGAACTATTGCACTCTAACCACTGCGCTACCACGGCTCTTAAATACAACTTATATGGAATAAAATCTAATGGGAAAAATGGGAAAATGCCGTTCTTCCCATGAAAAAATAAAGGTATCTGATCTCCTGCCTTTTCTGTTTGACAATCAATTTTCATTGCTGTAATGCTTAGGAATTTAGCTGGGTTCTTTGTATTCAGTCAAGTTTATAGTGTTGGATTAGGATTCTACTTTTTTAAAATTTTCTTTTTTCTGACTGCTCCTTCTATTTAACAGCCTCTGTTAACTCCAGTTTCTGTCCTTGCTGGGAACAGTTATGCCAATTAGATTGGATCGTTCAGATGAAGTTTGTTCATTTTTGCTAAGAACTCCATGCCAACTGAATATATATATATATTTCATAAAGAAGAGTGGATCAAGTTAAGATATTTAAAAAAATGGGTTAGAAAGCAAAACTTAATGATTCATTCCTACTTTCAGGAGACTATCTCTTAATAATTTATTTCTTTAGGTTATTGCAGAAAGAACTCTTTTTGCCCCGAAATCAACTTTATCTTTTAGTGGCCAGATGTAGGCAGAGTATGCCTGTCTGTTATTTGTTTGTTTTCATATTTATTTGTATCTCGCCATTATTTTTTTTACAAATAACTCAAGGCAGCAACACACCCTTTATTCCTTTCTCCTCCTGTTTTCCCCACAACAACAACCCTGTGAGGGGAGTTGTGCTGAGAGAGAATGTGACTGGCCCAAGGTCGTCCAACTGGCATTAATGGCTAACACAGGACTTGAACTCACAGTCTCCAGTTTTCAAGCCTAGTGTCTTAATCACCAAACCAAACTGGCTCTTTTTAAATACCTATTCCTCCTTACATTGCTAAACGTCAGAGAACAAGAGAGTAGTTTTTGAGACAATTTCTCATCCATCCGTGCCTTTCCAGGTATATTTGGCTTTGATTCCCAAATTTTCATCCATAATCTAGCCCAGTTCTAAAAGTCCCTTTTAATCCAAGTTCCTTCTCTGCAAAATAAATGTTTGTCCCCTTGCTCTTTGAAAACATCTGGTGACAACTATATAAAGATCTGTTTTTGTGCATCAATGAAAAGTATAACAGAAAATCCTGTGTGTTGATTTTGCTCTGTTCTGGTACCTAGTATAAACTTTATCTTATTTCTCAGTTCAGTTAGTGCTGTCAAATATTTTGCTGTTTTAAAATGAAGCTAGTTTCCTTCCCCCCCCCCCACTATGCAGTACAGTATTGGTTCTCCCACCCTGAATCACAAACAAGTTCTGTCTTTCTTTTGTATCCTGTCTAACTGGATACTATTTGCATGACTATAATCCAAAGATAAAATGTAAATTTACTGCACTCTGGCTTGGGATCCTTGCCCATTTACGTACAGCGCAGAAGTTGTATCAGTCTTATGTTGACACTGTTAAATGTCAGGAACTTAGTGAAAGCAGACACATTTTGAACTGAAGAGCTCCCAGGCTATCCGTGCGAGTGAGTCTGTGTGAGGTATGTATTCTGTATTTTATGTCGTTGTCTTAAGCCAGCTGTTCCCAACCTGATATTCTTCAGATGTTGGCTGGGAAGTATAGGAGTTGTAGGGCAGTGCATCTGGAGAATATCACTTTCAGAATAGGGGCCCTGGGCTTTGTTTTTTGACAACTTTTTAACAGGTTAATATCAGTTTATTTAGAATGAGAGTACTTTTCAGAGAGGAACATAATAACCCTTTATAAAGACTAGAAATATCCAAAGCATAAACATCATGGGATGATCTGATGACAACATAGTTGGAATTGTATGATAAAATTGTTATCGGATAGCCTGCTTTTTCCTCTGTTTTAGATCTATTTCTGAAATTTAGTAGACAACATGAAAATGTTTCTTTAGTGATGTCTGTAAGAGAAAGCTATAGATACAAAGTCAAATGGACAGAGTGGACAGTATGTGCTTAATTCTCCTCTAAACTCAGTTTGTGTCACAACAAACAAAACTATGATGAAACAAAGATGAAGCTTCCTTAATCTTCCACCAAAATGAAGAAGACACAAATATACTTTCTCAAGTTCTGAACTTGAGTCTTTTGCTTGGGTTATTGGCTGGGTTCACTTAGTGCACTAAGTAATTGAGCAGTCAGATCTGTTTTGAGCACAATTGGAGGAATTTACATAATGTATTAAAGCATAAACCTCTATTTACAAACCATAACAGCTGGGTTCATTCAACCCATTAAAGCCAAAACGAATAAACTCTTTTGTGGTTTAGTTTGATAGCTATGAAGACTGGTATCCACAGAGTATGAGGGGAATAGCAATGGCACTGCATTTGCTGTGAATCAGTTCAAAGATTTTTTTAATTTTTTAAAAAAACAGCAACTATACTCCAAGTGCATATGCTATTCCAGTCATTTGTAGGATTCTTTCCTTCTTGTAATTTCAGATGTCTGATATATAGCATCTAAAGGATAAGCTGATACATTTTGCTAATCTGTTGTAGCAAAAATTATCAAATACTAATGAGTTTATCGTGGAACAAACTTTAATGAATTATAATCCATTTCTTTTGAAAGTGATATGCTGAACCATTTACCTTCATTTTTTGAGGGTATTGCTGTGATTTGGCCATTCTGATTTTGTCACAGCTGTCATAGATCATAGGATGTTATATGATTTATGAGCCAGGCCATCAGTTTACTGACCTGTCAACACTAAGACCTTTGTGTACTTGGATATGCTGATGCTCAAACTAAGATCTTCTTTGTGCAAAATACGCTCTGTCAAAGTGCTATCTTACCTCCCTAAAACTCTATCTTCTTCTGGCAGCATGGGCTTGTCTGGAAAAAGAAAACTCAGGATTTTCAGACAAATAAAAATATTGTTCCACCAAAACCAACCTAAAACCATAATAATCAAGTGATTACAGCAGATTAGTAAACTGATCTCTCTTTAGTTCCTGTTCTGATCTCACTCACGTTCATAGGAAGGGAGGACTGTGAATCTGAGTTAAGGAAGTGAATGTTCTTTTCTTGAGCAATATATTTTCCATGTCAAGATTGACAAAAGGTTGGTCCAGCCATTAGATAACTAAGAAGCCTGCCTGAAATGGCAAAATATTGCAGGCATTGTAAAAAGTACAGTGATTCATTACCACAAGGCCTATTTTACTTTGTGCCTTCAAATGTGGTGGAAGAAGCATGTTCTGTAGAACGATTTTACTATCTCAGGCAGTAAGAATGTTGTAATATAGTCCAGAGGAAAAAGCAGGCTATCGGATAACAATTGTGTATGTTATGGTGAGACTTCTTAAAATGTTCAAAGTTTAGAGCGTAGAAGTGGGACTTTTCATGAGAGATTACTAGGACTATGATACTCAGCTAAGACCGGTCCCCGAAAGCAGAGGTATCCCCCAACACACCCATACATAAGCCAGCTGAAATTTTATACCACCGGGAAAGCACCTTTCCTTCTCCTTAGGGGAGCAAATAATTTAGGATGCTGGATAAGAAATATTCAATTTCTAGTGTGGGTCAGCTCTGCCTCAGATAGTTGCTTCATGCTAGCTAATGGTGGGGCCATTCTGGCTTTGCATAAAAATGGCGACACTATTCATTTTTCTGTTTACTTAGATAACTGTTCCTTGTACACTTAATACTGTTCTGTTTTATTGGTGTGATTGAAGTCTGCAGACAAAAAAATATATTGGGTGAGTCATCCCTTCTACAGTGCAATAATAATCAGAGGGCATGTTCATGGGATGACTTGCGGCTGAATATAAGAACAGACTCAGAAGAATCCTTCTGTTACAAATCATGAAAAAAATATGTATGTAAAGTTGCGTTTGTCGGTAATGGAAAAACAAAACCATAACTTAATGGTACAGTCCTCAAACGATAAGTGTGACAGGTTTGAAACATCCAGATCAACCATGTCTATTGTTTCATGAGAAATTATTTTCACTAGACTTTGTTTCTTTGCTTTTTCATTTTCCAGATTCATGTAAATCTTTTGCAACAAAAGCAGCATAACACCTTGAAGCACATTTACAATTAACACATTTGTTAGCAGAGAAGCTTTAATGGATCACAAAATGCTATGCAAATAATATCTTCTGTATTCTTAGGCCCTTGAAAGCATTTCTTTAATAGCATCATACAGTGTGAGGATTGGAAAGGACCATGGAGATCATCAAATTTAACCTTCTGTCCCATGGAGCAGTCCACCACTATGGCATCCTTCATGGATAGCCATCCAGCCTCTGATGCATGCCATCGGTGAAAGACATTTCACTATTTATTAAGACAGTGTGTTTCATTCTTTCAGAGAATAGAAAATATCTATTTCTTTGTCATTTAAAGCATTTCTCTTGTCTTGTTTTCAACAGTTCTGTTCCATTTGTCAATACTGCTTCCCTGGAGAACTTGTATGCAGTTAGCCCATGTTCCCATAGTGTTCTCTTTCCAGGTGAATAAATCCAGTCTCCAGGAATTCCTAACAGGTCTCTTATTCCAGGCCCACCCTTGTTGCATTCTTCTGAGTATCCTTCATTTTTTCAAGGCCCTTCCTAAAATGAAGTGCTGAGGGATGAAGACATTTTAAGTGGGAATGGAGAGGTTTGAAGTGGGATGAAGAGATTTTAGGTTGAAATGTTAGAAAAGATAATAACTTACTGAACTTGTTTCTGTTTATTTATTTGATTTCTATAGTCACTCATCTGAACAGGTGACTCTGGGCAGCATACATCATAAATACTAGCTTTGAGAATAGAATAGAATAGAATAGAATAGAATAGAATAGAATAGAATAGAATAGAATAGAATTCTTTATTGGCCAAGTGTAATTGGACACACAAGAAATTTGTCTCTGATGCATAAGCTCTCAGTGTACATGCAAGCAACAAGTGATAAATCACGATCATAATCATAAGATACAATCATCATAAATCATAAGATACAACATTCAATGGTAGTCATTGAATACTAAATAAAAGCAATCAACATAAATCATAAGATACAAACAACAAAGTTATAGTCATAAGATCCTCTTTTGGGCTTCTGCAGTGTACAGGGTTTCAGTGGAAGGCAGGCTGGTTGCAATTGTTTTTTCTGCAGTCCTAACTATCCTTTGAAGTTTATGTCCTGTCTTGTTTGGTTGATGTGCCAAACCAGACAGTTATAGAGGACAAATGACAGACTCAATAATTCCTCTGTAGAACTGTATTAGCAGCTCCTTGGGCAGTCTTAGCTTTCTGAGTTGGCTTGATGACGGGGGAAGTAATTTCTTTATCCCTTTTACATATTTTTCTTCCCTTCCTCTGTCCCTTTTTTTTCACCCTGCACTTTTTACATTTTGTTTTTTGTGTTCTTCTTAGTTTGCATTAGTTTTTTATCTTTGTGTTTTTAAACATCAAGAAAAATAATTACTAAAATGAAGTGCCCAGATTTGGATATGATATTCCAGATGTAGTCTGACTAGTGCAGAAAGAAAGTAATAATGATTTATCTTGACTTTTGTGCTATATGTCTGTTTGTGTGGTCTAGCACTACGTTTTCTTCTTTTGCAGGTGCGTAATGTTGTTGGCTCATGTTCAGATTGTGATCCACCAAGACACACAAATATTTTTCACATGTGCTGCTTCTCAGTATAGTCTCCTCTATCCTATATGCCTTAGAATTTTCCTATTCTTTATATTTGCCCTTGTTCATCCTGCTGGTTTCTGTTCATTGCTTCAGCTTGTCAAAATAATTGTTGAATCTTGATAATGCTCTCTGAGGCAATGTTTCTTAACCTTAGCAACTTTAAGTTTGTAGACTTCAACTTCCAAAATTCCCCAGCTAGTTTTTCCACACAGCTTAACATTTCTGAGGCCCAGAATAGAACTCTACAGTGTTCTGCTCAACACTTCCATCTTAACTGCGAGTTACTGACATACACTTTTTCATTATGATTTTTCAACCAGCTCTGTATCCATCAAAAGTTTGCGTAAATTGGCCCACGTTTCCTTTAGTACAATCTTATAGAAGACTTATCAAATGCTTTAAAAGGATACACTGGGTCCATCAGTTTGCCATGGTCAACTTAAATTGAACAATCTATCCAGAATGGGTTTTTTGGAATGATTTGCTTTGAAAAATGCATGCTGACTTCTACCAAGCAATGCATTCTTTGACATGCACACAACCCAATTGCTTAATAATTGTTCCGGAGTTTTGACCTGTATTAATATCAGTCCGACTGATCTGCATTTAAGTGGGCCCTCTTTTTTTTCTCTCTTTTTGAAGAAATGGTATAAACAATGTTTATTCTTAAATCTGTTGGGATTCTGCTTATCCTCAGAGAGGACCCAAAGGCTTCAATATGACATCTGAAAACTCCTTCAAGACACTTAAATATAATTGGTCTGGTCCTGGAGATTTAAGTTCATTCATAGTAGACAGGCTCGTCTCTGGATTGCTACTTTTTCCTGTTGTTGCTGATTTTGCTTAGATCCATTTGAACACAGCCATCCCTTTG